AAAAAATTGTCAGTTCTATTAATTGATGATTAAAAGGGTAATTGTGTATTGCTAGGATGAAGCAAACCACTCAGAATGTTTGTCTACTTATTTACCTAGTGTACTGGCATTTTTATGTATGCGAATACGATCTTTTGTTTTGCATTTTGCTTTTCCCACTAGCCTTCTGGGGAGGAGAATGAAGCTGTTTGCTCTTGTAAAGATTTATAGCTCCAGAAACCATATATATATGTGGCTTATATGTAAATACACATATAGATAGATATAGAGGCCTGGACTTGCCCTTCTTTTTATTCCAACTAACATTTGAGTGGAACATGCTTTGAGCCCTTTCCAGGATGCCAAAACTATCATTTTGACATGAATTAAATAAAAGAGTGCAGCATTCTTGAGGGGAAGGGTTAAAAAGATGGAACCAACCACTTTTATAACTGTTTATAGACTAGATGGAGGCTCTCAAAAAACAACTTCACATTTTGAGATCTTTAAAAAATCAGATGCTGTCATTTTATAGCAATACTTTTTGACTTAGCCTTACATACAATTACCCAACCATTGATCGTGTGTCGATTTCCAGTGTTGGCTGAAGCAATGATTTACGTTTTTGCCAGTATCCTGCTACACAGCTTTCTTAGATTCCATAAAGAGAAACAAGTGGCCTTTTCTTTTTAATGTGTTGCATTTTTATGTGTTACACATAAAACCACCTGATACATTATTTTACTTACTATCATCCCATCCTTACTGTAACATCTATGTGTAAGTAAACCTCAAGGAGGACCTCTGGCTGCAGCAGGGAGAAAGAATCCAATTCTATGCGATTGCCATAAGGCAAAGTCAGACATGGCTCCACCCTGACTGTACTTTTCTGTTGGGTTCCGTGATCCCATTCAGTGGCCACCCAGAACTCACTGACAATACTCCACTATTAGGGGGCTTATTAAGGAAGTTAATAGGTTACCACAAGTCTGGATCAGTAAACAGCAACACCTCTTCTTTCTCAACCAGGAACCAACTTTCTCTCTCTAGTTCTCAGCCTCCCAGCCGTGTGGGCCAGGAAGCCAGCCCCCATCTCTGCTTCATAGTTCATTGGCTTGGTGCTGCTCTTCTGTTTTGTCTCCTGGTCTCTTTCCCCCTGGGCACAGCCTGCCTCTTTGTTCTCTCCCGCAGCCTCTGGTGCCTCAGATCATCAATTCTGCTACTTCAGACAGAGGCCTCAGACGTGCTTCACTGCTGACTCTTTCGATGGTCCTGGGATTTATATGGAGTGCTTTTTTTTGTATTTGAGCAGACCATACCCCCCAAGGAAGCAAAAGGGGGTGAGTTTAGTCAGCCCTCTACTCAGGTGAGGACTTGGAATACCTCCCACTTTAATCCTGTAACATAGAACCACCTCTAAAATGGGATTATAATTATAGGCATAGAGTCTAGAATTTACAATACATCACAAAAGGGATTATGTCTAGAAGGGCCATAGTCAGTACTTTGTTCATTGTTATATCCCTTGTATTTATATGTAGGAGGGCCGGGTTAAATATTACCTGAAAGAATTTGTCAAAGAAAGGAAATCGGAGATAAGGACCTTAAAGGTAGAGTGTGCAAAGACATGGCATTTAAGACAATAAACACTTCATTTGTGCTCCATAGTACCCAACGGGCTTCTAAATAAGTCCTGGTAATAACCTGGCCCTTAAGAACAACTTAATGTCTAGGACCTTAGTAATAGCTAAGTTGTACAGCATCTGTTCAGAAATATACTACCCTGTTTCCCCGCAAGTAAGACATCCCCTGAAAATAAGACCTACTTACAGTTTTGCCACTTGCTGTAATAAAAGGCATCCCCCTGAAAATAAGACCTCCCCAAAAATAAGGGTTTGGATTGTTATGATGATGTTCCAGAAGATGATGACATGACTGTCATTGAATAAATGAGTAAATGTACCATAGATTGTTGT